AGTAATAAGTCTGAGTCTTAAATATGTCCATGGATGTTACAAGGAAATAAAGGAATCACAAGTAAATAAACCATCATTGAAAAAATTCAGAAACTGCATCATACCTGTTTCTTTTCATCTTTCTGTTTTTCTTCTTGTGCTTTTTTGTTACCCAATCTTTTTAAACGCTTTTCTTCACGAGCTTTCTTCGATTCTTTTTGTTGTTTCATTCTATCTATGAGGTATTCGGTATACATGTTACTTTTAGTCAGTAGATATTGTAATTTACGGTACTTCTCTGCCTGTTCATCTTGAGTCATTTCCTTCCAAATCTATAAAACGTATAAATATCCTTTAATTTTACGATTACTTGAACTCTTCATTCCATCTCATCAGAGTTAAAGCTTGTTCTCTACATTTCTCATCCAGAATATGTAAAAAAAAATCTTAAACCCACAACGAAATTTCTCTGGATCAAACTAGAAACCTGGCCAAAAGCTTATCAATGTCTGCAAAATAAGCATTAGCATATAAACCACAAAATATAAAATTTTAATGATGTAAATAAAAAAATCCATTAATGGTCCAGGCCCAGACACACATAAAAAGCTAGAAAATCTCCTTACAACTGCTTTAAGCCTACCTGTTCATGTTTCTCCATTATCTCCCTTTCTTTTTTCTCCCCTTCATCTTCTAGTCGAGCCTCTTCTGCCATCATAGCAGACGTCAGAATAATCTGGTCTTCAGGTTCTGGATTGCTTACCATGTCTTTTACCCTACTTTCTGTCTTATTGGCCTGGTCTTTATATACAATATCTGCTGCCACTTTATTTGATTCTGCATTTCCAAGAATAGTACTCTCTGTCATTACAACAGGATCATTTCCATTCTTTAGACTTTTGACAGACTCCATTTTCTTAAGTGGATCTTCAGGCAATTCTGAAGAGAATAATTAAAATTTGAAATAAATGCTAGGGATAGGAATTATTTGTATTAGAAAAAACCTTGGACAGACTCGCATCCTCATTGTTTGTGCTTTGCCCGACATCTCAACCCTTCAAAATTTCGAGCAAACCAGTCTGCCTTAGGTTGTATGCCAATCCTAAATTATAAACTTTGATTTTTACAAAAGCATGATAGGCCCTACTACTTAATCAAAACCTATACTACTTAAGCTAGTGTAGGCTACTACAAATGATTTAATTATGACGAATTAAACCACTTTGTCGCCGAGTTGACATGTCGCAGAGTCGACTGATGACCCTACAGATACCTACCATCAATAACATCATGATCATGAGCTGTTTCCATTGGTTCCATGGCCTCATCCCCTACTGGTCGAACAGGCGAGTCATTTTCAACTACCAGTACAACAGCAGTCGACCTGAAAATTGACATTGATTAATGATACATCCTTTATTATGAAAACACTAAGTGTAGTTGATATTTCAATTCATATGGAAATGATTGCCAATAATCAAGACTCAAAGACAAGAACTAAATCTACTAGACTAGAACTAGAAGTAGAGAGCAGATCTAGCAGTAGCAAATCATATGAAATTCATTCATTCATTGTCGTCTGCAATATCCACTAAGTATCTTTTGAGCGGATATATGAGATTCTGAACTGTTAAACGACATGAAATCTGTTCAAGCTACTGTTAAATATAATAGCAATAAAGAAATGCACGTACATTATGATTTTCTCGATACTGCCCGTTTTAACAACATCAGCAGAGTTTACATAAGACAGGAAATCAACATTTCCCGCCATTCACAGACGGCGCTATCAATGTCAGAGGTCAATGGGCGGGGCTTATTGGTGAATAAACAAAACGAAAGTAGTAAAACGCTTATTAATGATTATTTAACTAATTTTAAAATCGGGGAGTGGGGTGGTGGGGGGGCTCAATAATATCGACATATTGAAAGCAATACAATTCGCTTGACGCAGATTCCAACCGCTCATGAACATGCCGACAACCAAACTTCAAAACTTTCAGAACCTTTCCATACACTTCGAGGTCTATAGGCCTATCAAAAAAACAAAATTTTGTGAGATTAATATAGTTTGGTGAAAACGAATTTAATTTGGTAGCCTATGCTTCTTTTATTTATATCTCGTATTTCTCGTCGGATATGACAAATGGTTTTATTTCTAGTCATTGTTCTTGATTTAGCAAAATATTCGCCAAATAAAAACTTGTGAATGTAATCGACGATAATTACTTGAAATACATGCCTCACTTTTTGTTTATCTCTGTGTTTATGGACTGGTGTGTTTTTTTTTTGTACGGGTATAAAATGTTTTTGTATTTCTGTGGATGAGAAGTCAAACTGCCGGGCAAGTCTTTATGCTTTTGAGGTTTATTAAAACACACTGTTCTTACGGTAGGCCTATTATATTTGATACAAATCAGACAAAAATATTCCTAAACACGACCCATTATTAAAAAGTCAATATCATCCATAAATATAATATAATTGCAACCTATAGCGAAGATACAAATATATCAGTAAAAGACTGCATGCATTGTCCTGCCACGGATTTCTTACCATTGCAAAAAAAAAAAATGCCCAGAACGGCATTGCAACTGGTCGATTTCGAGAGTGTCTGGATTTCCAACGACAAATGGAATTTGAAATTGTCTTTATAAGTCTATACATAAAAGCAATTGGATTTTACAGAAGACTCAAAAACTGCGATTTCTGAGAGAATCAATGGCCATAAGATGGTTGACTTGAGTGCATTTACGACTATGAGATCCCAGTTTCCGTCAGGTCAATTGCCATCATTTTCCCATTGTTCTAGGTTCAAGAAATATTAGATCTTGCCTGCCAATAAGTTGTAGAGCATTCGGAAACTGCGCCTAATCGGTTGATCGCATTTGCTACAATAGGCTTGTTGAAAAATTCTGAATAAATACTCAATTGAAAGTAGTAAAAAATGCAAAAAAAATGTCTTTCTCAATTGCAATAATTGTTGTTAAGAACGAAACACTTTTTAAAAAAATTGTGGGTTTTATTTGAGGCACTAACAAGAAACACTGGGCTATTTGTTTATTGCACAATATTGGTCTACAAAAGAAACGAGTTTGAAGTAAATTTCACAAAACACCACATGGTGGGTTAAATTTCTGAACTGTTTTCTTCTTTCCTCATTATATACACCTTTCACTGTATTTATCTATTAAAATATACATATAATAATCTGATAGGGAATGGCAGGTAGGCCAAAATGAATTCTTAACGCTTTTTATGAGTTATTTTCATAAATGGTTAGGTATCTAAATATTTGGAAGACTTATTTAAAGTTTTAAAACTTTTCCAATAGTTAATTTTTTAAGGTTACAGTTTTCAATATTTTGATCAATTTCGATAGTTTGAGCTGACACCCCTGTGATTATAAGTAGACTCTTCTTGTATTAAGTGTAATGTAGAATGTATAGCAGACACGGTTAAATTATAACATAGCTTTTATTTTAATATCTTTCTCTATATCGAGTACAGCTTGCCTTGTTCGACAAGTACTTGCAGTCATCACCAATAGAAAATATCTCGTCCACACAGCCAGCTAATCTTTCTTTGTTTGAAATCAACTCAATTTGACCTAGCTACTCTATTTTATAAGCGTTGCATCCCAATTTCACATTAAGACATCGTCTATTTCCGCTTATTTTTTTTTATATGTGCAGCAGTCATAATTACCCTTCAATGCATATCTCCATATAACTGGAATATCTAAGTAAGATTTAAACTTTTAAGATTTTCATCATTCCCTAATTCCAAACCCAGAAATTTAGAATATGCCAGTGATGCAATATCTTAATATTTCCCGAAATATACATTTTCTCGATTTTTTCACTTGTGCAATAGTTATAATTGCCCGTCAATGCACTTTTCTTGTAAATCCGAATATCACTGTAAATTAGAAATTCCCCGAGAATTTCTGTGATCGCGGGTTTTAATAGACAAGTTTTAGACCGTGATAATTATTCAAAGTTTTTGACATTTCGAAAATAATTGCCAAAATATGCATTGTTTTGAAAATGACGTCATATATATTATATACCGAACGGGGCAATACGTTACAAACATAATAAACTGTTAAGTAATTATCACTTTTTATCAATGGTGACGCTATTGGGCTTCCTATAATGTGATATTGCTGTTAAAAAATGCACGAAATGCGGTATTTTAGGGAGTCAAGGTGTCTATTGAGAAGTTATCAGTTTTAAGATGACACTGTTATAATTCCCTCAACCAATCATGTAAACACTCGGCGTTATTTCTAGCTTTTACTTTGTTCCTATACAAGATTACGCCGATTGAGTGCTGATGAAAATTAAATCGCCGATATCTCGATTAATTCTCAATGAATTAAAAATCTAAGAAGATTTTTGAAATGTCCGTTTCCTTAGCTTTTATTTGGTATGTCAAACTTATATATTTCATGCTGAAGTTTTGGAGAAAATTGAGATTTTATAAAGTTATCGCTAATCGAGTTGATTTTCCTTAGTTGAATGTGTTATTGACCATTTATATCTCTAGCTTTGCGTTCAGCCATTTTTATCGAGGCATATTATTTAGGTTCACGCAGACACTCGACTTACTAAAAACTCCTTTGTTTGAATATTTCTAAGGTTTGTACATGATTTCTTTCTTACATTTTACCATATTTCATACATGTATGTGCGTTTTAACGCAGGTTTGATATTGTAAGAATAGTTATAATACCATAGTGAATTGTTAATTGGTAAAATTTCCATGTTAAAATTGTCTGTTGTAAATTATACAGTGTTATTGAAGACTATCTTCGTGTATCTTCTACCTAACTACCTTGTAGCCATTTTCTCAATCTTAATATATCCTTTGTTATTTCTACAATTTACTCGAGAAAAACTTAGGCAGGTAATTTTTGATGTGATGTGGGATTATTAATAAGGATTTATCAATGTTTCTGAAGAGTATATCAATGTTTTGGAGTGATATACTATATATTATGTGATATACTAATTCTAAGCTTCTAGAATTTATTGATATTGAGAGTGAAGCTTGGTGCAGGCAGGAAGAATCATTATAATATTTTTATTACATTATTTAACTGTAGATATAACTTGTTTCTACTTGGCTACAAATATTCTCCATTTTCTTTCCAACTTTTGAGGCATTTTGAAGGGTTTTTGATGCAGATATTTGAGTGGCATTTCAAGTGCTCATAGATGAGAGTTCAGCAATTTATCTTATAACTATTTGGATGATTTAATTTTTTGAAATTTGGGCATTGTGAATGGTTTTTGATACTAATTCTTGACAGGCATTTCAAGAACTCAAAGATGAGAGTTCAGCAATTTATCTTATAACTTTTTGGTGGATTTAATTCTTTGAATTTGAAGCATTTTGAAGGGTTTTTGAGATTAATTTTTGACAGGCATTTCAGACAATCTTATATTATAGTGCAGTCGTATGTCATAAAAATCTTAGGCATAATTAATGTTTTTAATTTATAAAATTTGAGGCATTTTGAAGGGTTTTTGAGACTAATTTGTGACAGGCGTTTTAGACGATCTTATATGATAGTTCAGACGTTTATTATAAAATCTTTTGGGAACATTTAATCATTTGAATTCATAAATTTTGAGGCATTTTGAAAGCTTTTTGCCACTTATTTTTGAGAGGCATTTCAAGATATTGATAGTAACCAAACAAAACCGTTTTAAGAAATTTTTGTGTTCAAAAGATCATATTTTTAGCTATTTGAAAGTA